TTAAGAATTCTTTTTTAAAAAAGATTTATTTATTTGAAAGTCAGAGTTACACAGAGAGAGGAGAGGCAGAGAGAGAGGTCTTCCATCCAATGGTTCACTCCCCATTTGGCCGCCACAGCTGGAGCTGCGCAGATCCGAAGCCAGCAGCCTCTTCCGGGTCTCCCATGTAGGTGCAGGGGCCCAAGGACTTGGGCCATCTTCTACCGCTTTCCCAGGCCACAGCAGAGAGCTGGATCGGAAGTGGAGCAGCCAGGTCTCAAACCGGTGCCCATATGGGATGCCAGTGCTTCAGGCCAGGGCGTTAATCCGTGTGCCGCAGCGCCAGCCCCTACATTTCTTAAATACAAGAAAAATGTATTATTTCACATAAAATGTGATAAAGCACTTTCAGGAAAACTCAATAGCTCAAGGGCTCACCAGATCCCCAGTCTTTGAGTTTTCAACTTTGCCATCCTCCTTATGTTAGCATTTCCCCTAATGGCTTTGAGATGACTGTTAGGGTTAGCCATCACACCTGCACACACACAGTGCCATTTGTATTCTTTTTTTTAAGAGTAAATGCAATCTTCCAAGAAGCCCCTAGCAAGCTTCCTCTTGGTTTTCTTGGCCAGCATTGAAACCCACACCTGTTCTTTCATCAGTCACTGGCAATCGTCATGGAATTGTCGTAATTGGTTCAGACCATTGGTTCTGAAATCCTTATTTATGGGTTTATTTTTTCAAAGTTTATTTTATTCATTTGAAAGGCAGAGAGCGAGTGAGCAAATGAATCTCCTATCTGCTGGTTTACTCCACAAATGCCTGCGACAGCCAAGGATGGGCCAGGCCGAAGCCAGGAGCCAAGAAACAGAACTGCTTGGGCCAACAGCTGCTGCTTTCCAGGTGCGTTAGCAGGGAGCTGGATTGGAGTTGGGTAGCTGGGACTTGAACCAAGATCCCGACATGGGATGCGGGTGTCCATGGGTGTCTCAAGTGGTAGCTTAATTTGCTATATTATAATGCTAGCCCATAATATCTTCTTATATATGAAATATTTTATAACATCCCTCTTTCCTGAGATGAAAATCAAAGATAATGTAACCTATTCACATGCATACTTTTGAACCAAATCAATATGAGCCCTAATTGGAATATAAGTGTGAAATAAAGCAAGGCAATTTATGAAAAATTATGCACATATGCATTTTAACGTTAACGGTAAATTGTACTGTGGGTCCCAATTATTTTCTGTTCTCTTTGTAACAGAATAATACATCCCAGCCTGGTGCCTTGTGACTTGCAGTGCCTCACTTAATTGATGGCAGGTTTGCTCTCTGATTTGCTCTGGCCAGTGTAACATGAACAGAAGTGGCACCTGTAAGCCATCACATGACCCTTTTCCTTTTCCCTTTGCCATAACAACAGCATGTCAGCTTTAGTCTAGACCTCACGGTGAAAAAGACACATGGAACAGAAGCAGAGTAACAAGTGATACATGATATGAACAAGAAAGACAGGTTTGTTGTAAGCCATTAAGATTTGGGAGGCTTGGAGCGAGTGCTGTGGTGCAGTAGGTTAATCCTCTACCTGCGGCTCGAGCATCCCATATAGGCATCAGTTCGAGTCCTGGCTGCTCCTCTTCTGATCTAGCTCTCTGCTATAGCCTGGGGAAGCCACAGAAGATGGCCCAAGCACTTGGGCCCCTGTACCCATGTGGAAGACCCAGAAGAAAGTTCTGGCTCCTGGCTTCGGATCAGCCCAGCTCTGGCCTTTGTGGCCATTTGGGTGTGAACCAGTGGATGGAAGACCTCTCTCTCTCTCTCTCTAACAGTCTGTAACTCTACCTCTCAAATAAATAAATAAAATCTTAAAAAAAATGTTGGGGGCTTAAAGTTGTCTATTACTGAGGCATAACCTATCCGAAGCTGACTCATGCAACATGGCATGGTGACATTCTGACTTAAAAAGAAGCAGTGTGCACTTTATGCTTATTTTCACCTATATGAGTATAAGTCATTACTATGACTCAGCAGTTTTGAACACTGACACAATTGTATTATATGAAACAATTCATAAATCAAGAGGGCTATTGGTATCAGTGCCATGACTGTCTGCCATGGTGATCAACTCTTAGTGAAGCTCTGAGTTTAAAAAAGAGACATCTCTCAATTTACACAGTAGTTTGCATTCCTGGGAAATGAAGTGTATAATAAAATTGGGTGAAATTAGTAGTTGGTAGACTCATATATAATTATAAAGAGATGTTTCACCTACATGAATAGAAGTTGTAGGTCTCCTGAAATGTTTAAAAACAGGCAAAATGTATACATGCTGTCAGAACTTATATAGGTGTATGACTATAAGGAGGAATTAGGGGTGTGTACATTTTGATGAATATTCAGAAACTGAGCTGGGTATTTTTCCGTATGTATGTTACGCTGCAGTAAATTTTTTAAAAAGTTATGCTGGGCATTGGACAAATCTTTGATGTGAGAGGCTGCCCTGTGCACGCATGCGGGATGCTGAGTATTTTTGTTTGAGTATTTTTGATTTATAAATTGTTTGATATCTGAATAAAACTGATCTTCCCTTGGCCATTCCTCATAGCCAGGGTTGGAGGGGATGAGTGGGTGCTGGTGCTGTTGGTGATGGCATTGTTCTTGGTAGTGGTAATGGTGGTGAGGGGCGATGATGGTGGTAATGGTGATGGTGTGATGGTAACGGTGTTGGTGCTGGTGATGATGGCGGTGGGGATGGTAATGGTGGTGGGGTGGTGGTGCTGGTAGTGATGTCGGTATGATGGTGGGTGATGGTGAGCGGGGAGAATGGCAGTGGTGGTGATTGTACTGGCGGCAGTGATTGTGATAGTGGTGTTGGTGCTGATGGCGGTGGTGATTTGATAGTGATGACGGTTGTGGCGGTGGTGGTGAGGATGTTAGTGATGGTGGTGGTTGGGTAGATGACCCTCATGGGCTCTCCTGTACATCTCAGATCACTTTGCCTCAACCCTCTAAATCTGCAGTGGCTCCCAACTGTCTATAGGATAAAACACTCAATTTAACATTCCTAGGCTAACTTTGAGGCTGCTTCTGTTTTCGCTGAACCACTGCCTTTTCCCTTTGCTGAATGTGCTGTGGTATCGCCATGTATGGCTCTTCCCTCTCGTGGGAAATCCCTGCTCCCTTATCACGGCTCTCTGTCTTCACTCAGGTGACTCCTCCTCCGTGATGCAGGCCCAGTCAACCACTCCTTTGTTTACCTTCCCAAGGTGCTTTCCTTCTATCCCTCTTAAGCATTCTCTTTATTCTGCCTTTTGTGTAGTTGGTTGGCAACATGTCTTTTATGGCCTCTAGAGTGATAGGCACTCAATGGATGCTCAAAACACATGTTGAGCTACACTGAGTGAGAACATAACCTTTGCAATTCAGAAATCAGCCACCTAATAAAATCTTGTAACCGGCTGAGTTGTGTAGTTCCATCAGCAGCCTCCATTGTGAATTAACTGCACTTCCTTCCCCTCATTGTATTAAGATTACATCCTGGACCGGGCTCAGGGGGGGAAATGAAGCTGTCTGGCTCCCGTAAACCATGGTAGTTTCCACAAGTTCAACGGGCTCAGGCCCTGTCGGTGTACAATAGAACCAACAGCTAGACAGAGGAGGAGGAGGCACTTGGTGGCAGCCTGGTCTTAGCACGGCACGTGAGGCCAGCTATTTCAGTTACCATTCCACAGGCATTTCATGAAAGCCTACTAGGGCGCAGGCTACAGTGAGAGTCACCGGTATCCACGAACAGGAATCTCTCCCCATCCAGTCTAACCAGGAAGGGGAGGTATGTGTCCAGGTAGCAGCAAAGAGATCTCTTTGGCACAGGTCTGTCCTACCACTCCTTTATGCAAAAACAAGGACCGACTATCTCAGCCTGGGGGTTCCCCCTCTTTGGTGTGCTGTGGCTGCCTGTCTCCTTAATTTTTAATTCCCCACGTCAAGGGACGGCACCCCTGGGATCGGGCAGAACGTGGGACAAATCCCAAAGCAATATGTCCTCCCCTTCTCCCCCTCCCGAAAACTCCACCCCTAGAATCCCAGGGTCTTCCTTTTGCTCCCAGCACCGCGCAGCCCCAGCTCCCCCAGCACTAGGCCCCTGTGGGCTGGTCCCACCCCTTCCCTCTGGGTCCACGGGGTGTGACCCGCGGGGCTCAGCAGCCAGCCAGCGCCCTGCCTCCACCCTTCCGCATCCCCACCCTTCCTGCCGATCTCAGCACTCCCTCTAATGGCTAACGCTTTTGTGGAACGTTCCCAGCTAGGGTTAAAAGACAAAAAGCGAGGCTGCCCCCGCAGCTCCGGTTCTGAGGTCCCTGTTGCTGTTTCCCTAGCGCCCGCCTTTGTTTCTCTTCTCCAGCCTCCCTCTCTGAGCTTTGGCAGGCAGCCTAGGGGGAGACTTCCCGACCTCGCCCCATTTCCAACATTCCAGATTGGAGTCCTTCCCGCTTTCTCCCCAGACGTCCTATCACTGTTCTGTCCTGGTGTGAATCCGAGCCAGGAGGTGGGCAGGGGGAACACACTGGGATTCTAAAGACTCAGCACAAACGTATCTTGTTCGTTTGAAAAAAGCATTTTCCAAAGCAGCTTGCGGGAGACAACGTGGGGTGACATTTTACATGGACAGCTTTATGAGCGAGAGCCCAGCAGCCAAGAACCCATGAAACCTGATGGAACGGCAGGTAAAGCCAAAATTAAAAAATCGGCCCCCGGGGGCCAGCCAGCCAGCCAGCCTTCTCCGCGACCCCCTCCTCCGCTCTGCGGCGGAAGGGGGTTCTGCGGCAGCGGCACCGCCCACGCATACTCAACCAAGAGACTCAGACACGCCAGCCATGCCACGAGGTGTGTTTTATTTTCATTAATCATACAAATAATTTTCTATAATATCCCAGGGCAAACCGGATAAATTTGGCAGTCCGATTGGGGGAGGGTCCCCTCGAGACCCACAGGCCGTTGGCGCGCCGCGAGTGCCCGGGTTCACAGTGCAGCTTGTGGCTCGCGTCCATCTTGCAGGTGGGTCATCTTCCACATCACGACTTGGGGTCTCCAAGATGACGGGGGTGGGGACTCCTCCAAGCTCTTAGGAAATTTCACTCCGTTTCTCCTGCTCAATGGCTGTGGAGAGCGGGAAGCGGGAGGGTGAGGCCACCTTGCAACCCCACCCCCCACGGAGGCGCTCACAGACCTGCCGTGGGCGAGGCACCCACGAGATCCGGGGATTGAGCAAGAGGCTCGGGGCTGGGGAGCGCCCGGGCGTTTTGTGTCCCTGGAAGGGTGGCTGGGGCCGCCCAGACCGGGGTCCCTGGCCATTTTGTGTCCCTGGGGCGAGAGGCTGGGCTGGCACAGGCAGGGCGGGGTGGGTGGGGGTGGGGGTGGGCGGGGGAGCCCGCGGTTCCGGGGCGCACTCACTCTCTTTGGTCGGCAGGGTGTTCTTCTCCTGCGTCTCCGTCTTCTTCAGCTTGGCCTTATCGAAGCTGGCGATCTCCCCCATGTCCGGCTTGTCTGCCATTTTCTTAAACCCTAGTGTGCAAACCAAGACGGTTGGCGTGGGGCTGGGGGCCAGAAACCCCCTCTGAGCTGCCCGCCCGCCGACGCCTTCTCGACGTGGCACTCCCGCCAGGGCGTTCCCGGCAGCCGCCCCAGGCAAAGGATCCGGGCAGGTCCCGCACCCCGCTCCAAAGCCCCAGGGCGTGGTCGGCCAGCCGTGTGTCCGGTCGGCGAAGCGCACCCCGTTGCGGCCTCAGCGAGCCCGCCCGCTGCACTAGCTCCGACCCCACCCTGCCGGCCCCCGCCCCAGCGCCGCGCTCACCGCGGCGTCTCGCTCCGGTTCCCGGTTCCTGGAGATCCCACTCGCGTCGCTGCAGCAAGAGACAAAAGAGCGGCGCCCGCCCCTCGCCTTATATACGCCTTGCCCCGGCCCGCCCCTCGCCCGCCGCAGCGGGGGCGGCGCTGGCAGCGGAGGGCGGGGGCCGCGCGGGCGCCTGCTCCGCCGGCCGCGCCCTGCGCCCCCAGCGCGCAGTGTGCAGCGGTGGCGCCGCCTGGGTGGGCGCCGGGCCCGTGGGGGCTTTTCTGGGGGCTGCGTTCGCCAGTGTGCGGGAGTCTTCAGCTCAACCCCCGCAGACAGCGCTTAGGGGCTGGCGGGGGAGGGGTGTTGGTTTTGGCGTGTGCTTGGTGTGTCGTGTGGGTGTGCGGGCGTGCACGCGCGCTCTGCAGCACTCCCAGTTCATAGGACACACCCCACCAGTGTGTCGCCGCCACAAGCTTGCCTTGGCCCCCTCCGCCCCCCAAATCTCTTTCCCTGCCCCCTTTTCCTCTTTTTTTTTGGGGGGGGGGGAAGCTGTGTCCTTTCGTGGTCTCACGCTGCCGGAATCCAAGCCGAGGGTCCCAGGGGTGTGAGTGGGGGAGAGTGATGGACAGGTTCCCTGGGCTCTTTGCCCATTGGGGACCCAGCGGCCCTCTCTTCCTGGGCCGCCTACCCAGAGCTGGGCGGCTCCTGCGGCGGCGCGGCGCGGCGGCTGCTGCGGAAATGAAACCTCCAGCTTTGTCTGGCGGGCGGGGGCGGAGCGGGAGTTCGGGGTGAGCTCGAAGTGTTTGTTCCCTCGCTGGGTTCCTGGGAACAGTGTATCCAGGCTGCAGGCTTCCTCCTTCTAGTTAACCTTGGAAATGGCAGGCACCCGCGTGCCTACAAACGCCCTTGTGCAATGCAGTTACTCAGATCTTTTCTTAGAAAAGATGTATTTTCAGCCGGTGCAACAGCTTTTGGTAGTTAATTTCTGGGGGTGAAGCAGGTCGTTCTTTCATTCGTCCTTAACCTTTCCTCTTTTTCCAGCATCAAGGGGGTATCCGCAAGCTCTGTGAAAGTGGGATTTGGAAGAGACAGCCTGAATTCTGCCCAGTCCCTTCCTGCTTTTATCTGGTCCCCCCCCCCTCTTCGTGTGCTTAAGAATGTGATGTGTGAAACTCCTGGGAGGCCCTGCACCTGTTTCTTCATCTGTAAATCGGGTTTAGCATAAGCTTAAATGACAATAAGAACAGGCATCAACAGGGTACTTAATATGGCAGTTCCGTTAGAGGGCCACCATATCATTTTATTAGCGTGAGTCACCATGCCAGAACATGCCATGTAACAAACCACCCCCAAACTCAGTGGCTTAAAAAAAGATTTAGTCTCATAGCTGCAGATCACATGGTGCTCCCCTGGGTGTGGCTGGGCTTCCAGGGCCTTGCATCTGAACTTCTGGTGGGGTGCAGGTTGGTTCCACAGGTGTCTTGTCCTCTGGCCCGGGCTAGCTGGAGCTTGTTTTTGTAGGACAGCATGTGGGCTGTAGTGCAAGAGAGTGCAGAAATGTGAAAGCAAAAGTTTGTCATATCTGATAACGTCCCGTTGGCTAATCCCAGTGTCCATGGAATGAGGAAACGTGTTCTCCCTGTGGAGGAGAAGGAGGGAAGGGACTGAGCATTTCTGGAATGAAGAATTTTCATGGTCAGCGTAGGTGAACAACTACAACAAGCAGTGCCCAAGATGGCTTAGGGCTGGGACCAGTGTTGTGTTGCCTGGGTTAAGCTGTTCATCACCCTTCCGATCCAGCTCCCTGCTAATGCACCGGGGAAGGCAGCACGCGATGGCTCACGTGCTTGGACCCCTGCCACCCATGTGGAAGATCCGGATGGGGTTCCAGGGTCCTGGCTTTGGCCTGGCCCAGCCCTGGCTATTGCAGCCATTTGGAGAGTAAAGCACAGGATGGAAGATCTCTCTCCCTCTCTCTCTCTCTCTCTGTAACTCTGAATTTCACATGTATAAAATGATTCTGGAAAACAAAAGATGGCTTAGGGCAACACAGATTTATTTTCCACTCCTGTGCTGGTGCTCCCAGTCAGGCACATCTACTCCATGTGATGACACAGGCACCCACACTCTATCTCTCTTGTCACTCAGTCCTTCTCTGGGTCCTGGAAGTCCACTCCATGCAGTGAGTGGCGAAAGAGGAGAGAAGAGGGGACCAAGGTAGAGTGTTGGTGGGCGGAGCTTACCTCTGTCCTCCTCTCCCCAGCTAGGGCTCGGTCACATGATCTCACCAGACTGTGAGGGAGGCTGGGAGATGCAGTCTAGCAGTGTCCAGGAGAAGAAAGCAGGGTTGGGTGGACTTGGGGCAGTCTCCACCATATGCTGTTGCAGAATCTGCTAAATCTGAACATAAACATTTCCAGACATATGGAGACAGCAACATTTGGAGGGGTTCACTGACCCTTTGTTCCTTTTCAAGTGCAATGCCAGGCATTATTTTACGGAAATAGCCAGTTGTCCAAATTTAGACCCGTGAGGGGGTCTCCAATTCCAACTTTCCTTCATTGAGGAAACAAATGGATCTATTTTTTTCTAAATAAAGCTATAGAGACTCATATTTGAAGATATTGCAAATGTGAGGAATGTCAAGCAGACATGTGGACATTTGTTTATCCTTGGTCAGTGCACCTCTGCAGCCCATCTCTCTCTTTTTATTTAAAGATTTATTTATTTATTTGAAAGTTTGAGTTACATAGAAAGAAGGAGAGGCAGAGAGAGGCCTTCCATCCACGGGTTCACTCCCCAGCTGATGGCAACGGCCAGAGTTTTGCCCATCCAGAGCCAGGAGTTTCTTCTGGGTCTTCCACGCAGGTGCAGGGGTCCAAGGACTTGGGCCATCTTCTACTGCTTTCCCAGGCCATAGCAGAGAGCTGGATCAGAAGTGGAACAGCCAGGACTCGAACCCAGAACCACATGGGATGCCAGCACTGCAGGCGGCGGCTTTACCTGCTATGCCACAGCGCTGCCCCCCCCCCCCCCCCCCCCATGTAGTTATTCAATAAATGTTTGTTGAATGCCCATGAAGCATCTAGCAGTGGTCAGTTTCTGGTGTTACACATTTAGTGTAGTAGGTGAATGAGTTAACAATACTCATGCTTTGCATTGACTTATGACTTCGGGCGTCATTTATATGTGATCGCCTTCCAGCCTGCTGCTTGGAACAGACTGTGTACTGTTCACAGACAGTATAGGAAAGCTAAAGCTCTCAACTCCAGCTGCGTGTCCATCTTTGTTGAGAAGGAAGGTCTGCAAAAGCTAGATGGACCTGGGAGCGTGTTGATGACTGTTCATCTGACAGGGGAGGTGGCAGGTTTCCATGGGAGAAATAGACAAAATATGGGGAAATGAACCTGATATGAACAGATATAAAGTCTTCTTGGCCCTCAAATCAGGCCCACAGTCTATGCTGTGGCACAGGGGGTTAAGCCTCGCCTGAGACAGCATCCATATTGGAGTGCAGGTTTGAGTCTGGCTACTCTGCTTCTGAGCTAGCTTCTTGCTAATGCACTTGGAAAGGTAGTGGATGATGGCTCAAGTGCTTGGGCTCCTAACGTTCCTGCTACCTATGTGGGAGACCCAGATGGAGTTCCTGGCTCCTGGCCTCAGGCTGGCTCATTTGCTGTTTGTTTCTCTTTCAAATAAATCAATCAATCTTTAATATAACTAAGTCTTTAAAAAAAAAATCAGCCCTACAAGTCCTGGGAGACAAGATTAACAGTTAGCTCTCAGTGACAGTGAGACTAGAGGCTATATGGATGGGAAGAAGCGCCAGTCTGGATTTCCTTTGAATGTGACGATGCCACCCCCTCCTGCTGCAGGGCCTCTGCCCTTGCTAATGCACTTTCTTCTTTTAGGGATCTGCTTACGTGCCCCTCTCCCCAGTGGCCCCTTCCTGGCCACCCATATAGAGTAATGCCCTTGTCATTCTCCAGTCCTGCACATGTTTTCTTTTTCCCCATGGAATACTCATCTCTAACCGATATATAACCACATGTGTTATATGCTGACTTATCTGTTTCGTTGTCTGTGTCCTGCAGCAGGAAATGGGAGGCCTAGGATATCTCATCCACCCCAGTATCCCCAGCATGCCGCACGCTTGGGTTCCCTGTGTTTGGAGACATTCAATGGGAAGTGGATAGCCAAGTGTTGGGACTGTTGCAGATGGTACGTGGGACCAAAATAGGCTCACAAGTGAGCAAAATATCTTCTCCCTGGGTGACCTCCCTGGCGCTTCTGCTGCTGTGGTTCTATCTGTGAAGTAGCTTCCTTGTGGGAACCAGTTTTTCCAGTCCATGATGACTTTGTCGCAAAGGAGGTACAGGAAGCTTGTGACATCTGTTTTCTGCACCATCAAAATGTTGGCTACATAGGGGATGGAATTTAAAGGCCTCATCCAAGGTAAAATTATGAAGCAAGGCTTGTGAGGGTCAGACCCAGGAGTGATTGTTCTGCTCTTTGATGTGTGGATTAACTCCTAAAGAAACCTTGGCAGGTGCTGAGGTTGCCCAAATGGCTAACAGCCATTTTCATCTCTGCTGTTAGAACAGCAATAGTGGTAGCAAGTAGTATTACCAAGCAGTTATGGCATTTCAGAGCCTCTGCTAAGGACTTGACAGGTTTTTTTTTTTTTTGACAGACAGAATGGACAGTGAGAGAGAGAGACAGAGAGAAAGGTCTTTGCCAATGGTTCACCCTCCAATGGCCGCCACGGCTGGTGCGCTGCGGCCAGCGCACCTCGCTGATCCGAAGGCAGGAGCCAGGTGCTTCTCCTGGTCTCCCATGGGGTGCGGGGCCCAAGGACTTGGGCCATCCTCCACTGTACTCCCGGGCCACAGCAGAGAGCTGGCCTGGAAGAGAGGCAACCAGGACAGAATCCGGTGCCCCGACTGGGACTAGAACCCGGTGTGCCGGCGCCGCTAGACGGAGGATTAGCCTGTTGAGCTGCAGCGCTGGCGACAGGTTTTACCATCACCCAAATAGTGTGAAATAGCGCTGCTTTTAGCATTTCTCCTTTACAACATAGGGATCTAAGGCTTGGTCACGGCCACACAGCTGGTCATTGGTATTTCTGGGCCTTGAATCCAGGTCTGGCTGATTCCAAAGCCGAGCTCTTAACTGCTGCACCCA